ATTTAACAGGACACCGATTCCCAGAACACATTTCAAACATGAGTAGAACAGAAAAAGATATGGCTGAGACCCATTAGTACACTGTGACCTCTGGCACACTGAACAGCCTAGAAATCAACAACTCTTAAGTTCAAATCCCACTTCTGCCACAGACTTGCTAAGTGACTTGTCACTACTCTGTTTTTCTTCCCTTTTACTCTATGTAAACTAAGTTTCAATAGTTTATAAATAGCTGAAGTTCTAAATCCTAATGATACTCATCTGGATATAGCCAAGACATGAGAAATATTAAATTTCTCCTAACTTCAATGAAATCCTCATCAAAATTAATGTAAGAGCTCTTTCTCTCTTTTGAGGATGGAGGGGGTATATAACAAATTTTTCTAAAAAACTTTTCATGTATATATGAGAGATAAGCTTCAAATAACATACTTATTTCAAAATAATTTAGAGTGACTGCAGCTTGCCACAAAAGGGAAAAATAATTATATTTTTTTCATTTAGAGAAAACTCAGAACAAATACAATGTTCAAGATTATAATCTGCCTTATACAATAAACAGTGCCTTATTTTAGCTATAGTGTACTTGATCAAGTATTTAAAAATTACACAAAATAATCTTTTTAAACCTTAAAACACAATTTGTAATATCTTGTTCTTGTTTCACAAATATGTTTTCAAGAGAACACCAAGGTTTTTATACTCTTCTCTTTCGGAAAATTGTTATTTCTGAGTCTTTGGAAGAGAAAGCATATTGCAGGAACAAACAGTTGTTTTCACAAAAAAAGGGAAGAGGGTTAACCAGGCTTTGATTAGTTTTGTGTTCTAGCCCAGGTCACTTAGGCTGTGTGGCTGGACAAAGTCATTTTGCCATACTATCATCTTCATCCATTGAGGTAGACGGGGGAAGCCAATGTAAAAAGTCTACTACCTACCTAGAATCCTTACAGGAACTGTTTTAGAAAATCTTGAAAAGGGAAGGAAATTTAAAAAACAGGCATTTCCAACTGCAAAAATGATAATGCTGAACACTGAGTTTGGAAAATGCTAAAATAGAGAAATCAGAGCAGGACAGGTAAGAAAGAACCTTCACACAAAGAGGGAAACATTAGGAAGACAATCCCAATGAATTTGTTAGTTTACAACTATAATGAACATATACTACTTATTTACCAGTTATTGAGTGCTAACAAGTGACTATTACAGCTAATTGCCATGTTCAAAATTAAATATTAAATCACTTAATCATTGTAATACTAAGAAAGACATTCTTTTATTATTTTTGTTCTAAAGTAAAAACCCTGGGGAACAAAGAGATTATATGAGTAGTGTAAAATAACTCAGCTGGAAGTGGCACAGCCATGCTGTGAACCAGTGTTGTATACTGATAGGTGTTTTTTGGCCTAAAAGGCAAACATAAACATTTTAGGATAGACATGCAAGATGTAGTTATTTTAAGAGGCTAAGTATTAAGAGTAGAGACATAAACTACAGCAAAAATTCTAATCCAAGGATGAACAAACAAGCTACATGATATGCATGGAATAACTGGATATTTAGAATGTCCTATACATTTAAGAAGGGTCTTATTGCTCTATGTATATATGTGACTGTATGATCAATGTGATTCTGCAACCTGCACACTCAGAAAAATGAGAAATTATACCCCATTTGATTCAAATGTATGATATGTCAAGATCATTGTACTGTCACGTGTAATTAAAACAAATAAAAAATAAAAAAGAAGGGTCTTTACAATCCAAGTGTTTAACAGAATTCCATGTCTTGAAAATTATTGGAATACACATTCAATGGCACCTTTTATGGTACTCAAGAATGTGGAAATTTCTTCAAACAAAACAAATCAGCAGTGGAATAAGACGCATGGTAGCACATACTTGTCATCCCAGTGGCTTGGGAGGCTGAGGCAGAAGGATCTCAAGTTTGAGGCCAGCCTCATCAACTGAGTAAGACTCTAAGCTACTAGCAAGAGCCTATCTCAAAATAAAAAAATAATAAAAACAGTTTGGGGATGTGCTCAGTGGTCAAATATTCCTGGGTTCAACCCCCAACACTAAAAGCAAAAACAAACCCCAAAAGAGGAACCAAAACATGATATACATTATTTATAAGGCACCATATATCTTTTTAAAATTCTTTATCTCATTGGATCCATACAACACAGTATTATCATCTCTATTTTAAGAATATAAAAATTAAGGCTTGAGAAGATTAATTATCTAAGGTCAAGCTGGCAATTACTGACTTTCTGGCAAATACTAGAAAAACTGGAACATAGAAAGAAATGAGTAGGATGGAGATCTGGTAAGCATGGATCAAATTTAATTCCACAGAATGCAAAGGAAAAAATTCTCCCCTCTTTGGAGTCATCCTGGGGTATGTGAATAAAATACTATTACTGGAGATCTTAAGTTTTGAACCTATACTCTACTATTTTATTTCCTTTGTGTAGTCAGATGGAAAAAGAAAAGGAATGCAGTAAAGTTGCCATGCTGACTGGGATGTATGTAATCTACATTACCTCTTCTTCTTCTTTTTTTTTTTTTATTAAGTGTGGTCAAAGGACAATTCAAAGGAATTGAATGTCAAATCTGAACAGATTTGAAATAAATAGGCACTTCATCATTTACCTATTATGAACACATACTATGTATGCAATGTAGAGGCGATACCAACTCATCCATTGAACACTGGAAGGGAGAGATCATGACCGAGATAGAATGACTTCACAGCTCTTGGTTTTTGTATTTTAATAGTAAGGAAAAAGAAGTAACAAAATTTTTATCTCACCTTACCTTATGGAATTTTATCTTAACTGACAAGCAGGTAAGAAGGCAGAGTTCTTATATATAAAACAAAATAGATTAAATAGAGTAAAAAACATTATAGAAAAGGATATTTTGATTGTATAGATGGGAATATGGTAAGAAAATAAACACATACTACCCTTCCCTGCCTCCATTATTACATATAGAAATCACAGGGCCAGGCTTTAAAAGGGCAGTGCCAGGTTAATGGACATGGGGCAAATAGACCAATTCAGGGCTTTTCTCCTAAGGCTTCTACATTTTAATGAGTGGCAGACAGACACAGAATGCTTAGAAACTACTATCACTTCACATGAAAAAGATTAAGAGAACATGCAATTTATTTCTTGGTTGTCCAACCTAGGTCATCAAGAGAAGAAGAAAGGAAGCAACTGAGAGTAGAACTTTTGTCTGGAAACAGACTATGTACATAGTACACACTTTTCTTGTGCTATAGGAATCTGAACACAGGTTTATGGGCAAGAGGAGCAGAAACTTTAAAATTATATGATGCTGTGAGGAAAAGATGGGGCTACAACTTTACTAAACATGTCACAATGGGCAAGTCCACTAACATATTGTAAGGTTCATACTGAATATGTAAAATGGAAAATACTTGTGCTCCTTATTGCAAGGATTATTATGATCACCAATACAGAATTTAGAAAACTTTAATAATCAAATGAATGTATGTCGAATATAAATGAACAACTGTCCTAAGAAAAAAGAATTTCAATGCTAGAAGGAAAGGCAGATCATTTAGCCTAATATATAAATTAAGCACTGGGGCTGAAGTTCAGTGGTAGAGCGCTTGTGGCACCTTTGAGGCACTGGGTTTGATCCTCAGCACCACATAGAAATAAATAAATCAAGATATTGTGTCCATCTACAACTAAAAACAAAAAAAAATTTAAAAAGATATGAATAAATTATTTTAAACAGGAACCCTGTTATAAAAACAGAACACATAAATAGCTGCTCTTGTTAATATACAGCTGACACTTGGCTTGCTTTGTCTCTGTTCTGCATGGCTCCAGGATCTTTCTACAGAATTTTTTTATGAAACAATTTTAAGCCCACAGAGCTATTTCTAACTTCTAAAAATGAAGAGAATAAAAGTTGAAGCGGTAAAGTTCGACAAAGGCAAACCACAATAGGGACTAGAACCCAAATCGCCTGACTTTGTTTAGTATTCTATGTTCCAACACTTTTATTTTCTTTTTAAAGAATAAATAAATAAAATAGAGGTTCTTCTTTATGTTCAGTAATTTCACTATCTCCCTTCTTTCAAAGGCCTCAAGATCACTGAACTCTTTATCTATCTGGACACAAGTAACTGATATTATTGGCAAGACCAGAGTAGTTTAACATACAAGTAGGTGGTTAGTTAGAAATTGTGGTGGAGGGAGCCTCAGTCTCCTTGTAATGGCTAAAAGTTGTCTACATAAAAATTTGCAAGGGACACCACAGAATACAAAAAACACGTTAGACTTAAACTTTCAACTACCAGGTCTCATTCTGTGAAAAGCCTTTTACTAAAATGTTGCGTGTACAGAAAATGGTCCCTAACTAAATACGCAAACAATGACTTTTAAAGACTCAAAGGAAAATGCTCATGATTTTCACATTCCTGATAAGGAATCAACAAGAAATAGAATCAACTCCGAAATGTTATAAGAAAATTCTCAGTATCTCCTCCCATAAGAAAACCAAAACTTTTAAGCAAATGGGTTTTCACTTAAGTTACTCATTTTTTTTTTTTTTGTATCACATGTAACCCTTTATATGAACCCTCGGGTTTTACTGAAAGCTTGGATCTTGGATGATTCTTAGAAAGACTTTGATAAGAAGTAAATCTTTTCACGAGGAAAATACGACTAAGTCCGTCTCTAAAAAAGGCAATTCGTGGAACGCAGAGGGGTTCAATTCTAGCTGCGGGTTCCCCCGCCCTCAATGGCGCAAACCTAAGAACATCTGTAGGCGTTTGTAATTGCTTTACAGTGTTTCCCGAAATCAAGACACTTCGATTTGCCTCTTCCAGGAAGACAGGAAGCCAATAAACAGGGAAACTGAAGCAAAGGGCGAGAATTACAAGGCCGTGAAACTCCAAGACCTCCCGGCTGTACGCAGGACCTCAGGTTTGCACTCGGGCGCTCTCGGGCAGACACTGACCTTAGGAGTGTGCGAAACGCCCACGCTCCACGTAACTTTTTCTGAAACATACTCTGGAAAGCTTGGCTTTTTCCTAGCAGAAATGTGGGTTACCCGGGCTTCCGGAACTCGCGGGCTTCCGGAGCGACGCAGGACCCGGAAGTGGCTGGGGGAAAAAAAAAAAAAAAAGGAAATAACACCACCAGTGAGCACTACGCTTTAGAGCAGCGCAGAAGGCCCGAGAGGGCCCCGAGACAGAGAACTCGCAGGAGCCGAAGGGCCGAAGAGCCGAAGGACCGAAGGGCCGAAGAGGACACCTCGCGCACGGTGATTGGTTGGAGAAAACGTCTCTGATTGGCAGAAGAGTCACGAACCGGTCAGCCCCAGGTCGGGGCCCGGGCGTGAAGAGGTTACAGTGTCCAGGGGCCGCCGGGAAGCTGGGGCTTTCGGGGGCAGGGCTTTAGCTGCGGGCAGCCGCCACAGCGGGCGGCCGGAGAAGCGCCGCCGGGTGGCGGTGAGGTGCCTCCACAACTCGGGTCTCCTCGTTCCCCCTGAGCGGCCTGCTGCGGGACGACCTCGTGAGGCGGGAACCCTCGGGCTGGGTGGCTGTGTCCGGACTAGGACAGTAGGGCGGTGCGTGCAGACAAACCTTTACTGCGGGCTTGGTGGCTCCAGAAGGCAGGTCCACCGCCTTGCAGAGATGCGCCCGAGGGGCCGGTAACTTCAGGGTAGTGGTCACTTGGGCCAGGCCCCCTCTCAGTTCTTCCCATCAGCTCTTAGGAGCACGTGAAGCTCTTAGGAGCACTCCCACCCCTGGGCATGGAGTCAGAATTTCAGAGAGGGGTCCGTAGGAAGAGCGCCCATCAGGCAGTTTTGTGCAGCCCGCTTTGGGAAGCGCCAAAGTTTGAACGAAATAGAGTAGTTTAAGAAGAAAAGATTTCCTGCACATAGTAGGTTTTAAGAACCTTTTAGTTCTTGTCACAAACCCCTTAGGAGAGCGCGCTCAGTCTTACCAGGAGTCTATTGTTAAACACTGAGAACTTATCCTCTGAAAGTCGTGTTACAGAAGTGCTTTTTCATTTTTGCTTTTTAAAATTTTTTGACTTGTATTTTATTTCAGGAATTATTCTATGGAACAGATGTTACTCCATGTATGAAACATGAAAAGATAAAATGTACGCATGAACACCAATACTGTCTAAATTCATTTTTACATTAAAGATAATACAATTTGACATCATTATACTTGGAATGTTGCCTTTTGTATGTTAAGGACATTTAATGGGGAGGGGCAGAGAATTGGCCTGGGTAGAGGATGATAACTACTTCAATTAATGAATCAAAGTCTTTTCCACCATGTAAACCTAGAGTACAAATGAGATGGAGTGGAGAGTACAGGTTGATAGGGTTTGTAGTTCACTTAGGTATAGCAGAGGTTTTCTAGACTGCAGCTGTTCAGTATGGTAGCCATTAACCACATGGGGTTAGTCTTAAGTGAGGTCTGTTCTAAGTGTAAAATATGTCCAGTTTTTTTTAAGACAAGGTATGGAGGAAGAAAATAAAGAATGTAAAATATTCTTTAATTTTATATTGATTATATGTTGAAGTGAGAGTGCTTTGAAAAATTTAAAATTATGCAATTTCCATAATTTTTATACGGATACTTATGTTCTAGAGAGTAAGAAATTCTCTTTGAAGATGACTAACGTCTTTCACTTAACAGTTGCAAAGTAGGCAGCTATGTGGCACTTCCAGAATAACTCCCAAAAGTACTGTACTTAACTAAATTTTTGTTGGAGGGGAGAGAAGACTGGCATAGATTACATTTTCAGAGAGCAGTTCTAGTTCATGAAGCTTTGTATAGGTCACATGAGCATCAAGTTATGTATTGATAATAATGATAACCTATCTATGAAGACATTTGTGCTCTGTTAAATGAAATTGTATAAGATAGGGAAATATGTATAACAGTCAAGACTTCTATTGAAAATATTTAAAGTAAGTTCTGGGTTTAACCTCTAGGTATAGTATACATCTTTAGTTTTGTAGTGGACTAGTAAGCTGAGGTTTCAGGAAAGTTTTGATTCCATTTTTTAAAATATTTGCTTAAAAATGTTTTCCACTTATTTATTTTTCACTTATTTAACAAAAACCTGTTGGGGAACAGAAGTATTGCTTGGCAATATTGATAAAAATATGAACTGGACAGAAGATTTACATGGCTCTTAACTTTCTAGGAGCTTATAAATATCAATTCAGGGACAGAATAACCAAGGCTTTTTTTTTACTTTGAGTGAATGATTTACTCCTGTAAATGTAACACATTAGTTGTTTTAAACCTAAGATTTATATATTCCTGCAGACATGCTATAAGTTTTTAGACTTGGCTGTGGGCTTAAGAACTAAAAGCCAGAATATATTTCATTCATTTACAGTGAGAACTTGAAAAAAATAAAATAAAATTGATTATTTCTTTACCTTTAAATACAAGAAAAACGTTTAAAAAATACAATAGCATCTTATATCCTCTTTTAGCCTCTAAGTGACTTTTAGATTCTAAGGAATTTAATAATAAAAATGTAAAGAAGACATTGATTTATGCCCCTAACATATTTTAAGATTGCTGACTTTATGAAGTTAAATTTATATTAGCATATTACATTGTTCTTAAATCAATATGTTTGATTTTTTTAGGAAAAAGTTGAACATAGATCTTATGTTATTTTACTATTGCTGCTATAACAAATTACCACAACATTAACAGTTCAAAACAACACCAATTTATTATCTTAGAGTTCTGTAGGCCAGACATCCAACTGGGTTTTAAAGGGCCAAAATCAAGGTATCCACTGGCCTAATTCTTTTGTGACGTTTCAATCAAATAATCTATTTTTTTGTTTTTTATTTTGTTTTAATTTTATTTTTTGCTTATTCAGGTCATTGGCAAAATTCAGTCCCTTGCTATTGTAGGACTGAGGTCTCTTTTTTCCTTGCTGGCTGTCAGCTTCCAGAGACTGCCCACATTTCTTCTTCCTGTCTTGTAGTTGGCAGTGATGGGTTCAGAGCTTCTCATCCTTCTAAGATTTTTCCTTTTCTTCCATGGTTATGTCCCTCTGGTTATAGCCTTTTGAAAACCAATTTGAGTAGGTTGAGTCTCCCCTTTTCAAGGTTCATAACTTTAACTATATCTGCAAATTCCCCTTTACCAGGTTAAGGTAATATTCACAGGTTACAAGGACTGGAGCACATTTTTCCAGACTCTAATTTCTCGAAATTAATGTCCAAACTCCTTGGAAACACACCAAGACCTTTCATATACTCCAAATACTTTTCCTGCCCTTCTTTTGTTTGGTATTTACATAGCCATTGATTCTAATTTCTCCTTATTCTCATGTGCTTTTATTTCCTGAGAGAGGCCTGTATGTTTATGGGAATAGGGACAGTCATATTCGGGGTCCTTGTCCATAATGTCTTCTAATACCACTGTAAAACTTCATTCCCCCTTTGCTGACATTGTCTTAATTCAGATCCTCATTCTTCCTTTAAGTCCTTTACTAACAAAATGGTGTCCTCTAGCCTTAGGTCTCTTTAGGTTTCCTCTCTCCATTGCTCATTAGAATGATTTTTAAAAAACATACAAAACTCCATATGTCATTCTCCTTCTTTAAAATTTTCAGTGTCCCCTCAGCCAATTCCTGAAATATTATGCCTTTTTCTGTGCGTCTTAGCACTAATTATGTGCTTCTACTGGAAATGGAGATTGAACACAGGAGTGCTTTACCAATGAGCTACATCGGCAGTCCTATTTATTTATTTATTTATTTATTTTTACTTTAAGACATGGTCTCACTAAGTTGCTTTAGGGCCTTGCTAAGTTGTTGAGGCTGGCCTTCAACTTGTAATCCTCCTGCTTCAGCCTCCCAAGTCGCTAGGTTTACAGACATGCACCACCATACTAGGCCTACTGTAGTAGTTAAGAAGTCACACAATTGTTTAGATACTTTTCTTCCTTTTAAATCATTAACTCATTGAAATGGGGTCATAAGAGATGGTTTTACTTGAATGAATTTATATTATTTTGTCATATATAAATTATTACATCATTTTGTCATTGTCTCTTGTCACTAATCTGTGAACTCTTTAAGGGGAAAGTCACTGGTTTATTTTTTCTTTCTCTGTGGCACAGGAGACACCTAGTGACTTTTGAATCAATGAATTGATAAAATAACCCAGAATACTGGATTATTTTTGGTCAGAATAAAAAATATATATACATATGAAACAATTTCCTGGGAATATATATGATTACATTGTGATTGTTGTATATAATTTGGTAATGATTTTTAAAGAAATGTGGTGGCTAAATCATGAACTTGGAGCCAAAGCATCTGAAGTGAATTCTGGCTTTTAACCTTACAAACTATGCAGTGTTAGGCAAGTTCATAATCCCGTTCCTGTTATTTGTAAAATAAGGATAGTTAGTTCTTTTTGTGTATGGTACTAGGCATTGAATCAAGGGGCACTCTACCACTGAGTTACGCCCCCACTCCCCCACCATTTTTATTCAAAGAAAGATCTTGCTAAATTGCTGTGGCTGGCCTCAAACTTGTAATCCTCCTGCCTGAGCCTCCCAAGTCATTGGAATTATAAGCATGCACCATCATATCCTGCTGGATGGTTAATTCTTTAACTTTGTTAAATGACTAATATTTACAAAGCATCTATAACTATTTACCACATAGTAAATGTCCTACAAGTGTTTGTTAAATAAAAATAAAATAGTTTATATTCTCATTTTTTTGATAATAAGTAATTATCATACAATTATTTTAAAAATAGCTCCATGAGTTGTGTTGTTAGAGACTTTTAATGATTCTTAATGTCTTATTTTATAAAATGACCCTCTATATTCTTTACATATTTAGAGATTACTTTTGTATTATTCCTCTCATTAGGAGTTTACCTATGTTCCCTTTGTAATATTCTTTCTGTTGCTCTTGTAAGAAATTACCATGAACACAGTGACTTAAAACATTAGTTTATTAGTTTATTGTCCCACACTTTAGCAGTCCAACACCATCACCAACCTAAGATCATGTAGTCACTAGGCTGCCTTTCTTCTGGAGTCTCCAGGTCTTCCAAAGGCTGTCCACATTCTTTGCTTATGGCCACGTTCTTCCATCTTTAAAGCCAGCAATGTGGCATCTGTTTAATCATTCTGCTATGTCTCTGTCTTTGACTATAGCCAGGAAAATTTCTCT